ATCCCTGGAAACCAACATCATCCTTGTATACACAGCAGGATATAGTGTTGGATTCTAGGCTGTGAAGCATCATGAAAGCTGCCTTTGTTGGCTGCCTGCACTATAGGTTCTGAGCCTATACTATATATCATGAGCATAGCATAGATCAGGGATCACACTTCTCCCCTATTTTGAAATTGCAGAGCAACATGGAACACCTTTCACATAGTGGGTGTTTTGGTTGATGAGTTAAAAACCACAGGTAGGTTGTGCTACCTTGGTTGAAATTGAGGCAGATTTGGACACTGCAAGCTGGGCACTTTCATCCAATGGCTTCTAATGTGGTTTTCTCTGAAACAATAAAAATCATATCCAAGCTAGTTTGTGTCCTGACAGTGTGAAATATGGTTGATTTTGCAATTTACAAAGTTTTTACATCTGATATTTTTGGGAGTGTATGATTTTTCGCATGGGTGTTACTAATCTGAGTGTCAATTGAAAGGGACGTGTTTTTTGTGAGATAGATGTTAAAATAAGAACTATAAGATGCTAACTACATCAGTGGAGAAAATTAATTTAGCAATGTGTTCCCAAACCCCCTCATATTTAATTGCATTATACTGGCATGTGAATGAGGATGTTGGTAGAGGTGAGAATCCTGGGAGTAAGAGGATATGTTGATGCATACTGCTGACATATATTTTCTGCCCACCAGTTGTGTATCGCAATGCTAATTAGGAATGCTTTCTGAGGCAACAAAATTGCTACTTAGTTTGCTCTTTGTTCAAATCAGCCATTCAATGATTTGTTGCTGTGCTGTTTTTGTTCTTATTTTTATTTAATATTTACTCATTGAATACAAGTGCCTTGCTGCCTGCATGTGGCCCAAAATCTGGGCATTAGGCTTACTTGAATGGCGACTCTCCCGGGTATTGGGTTGGTAGGCCCGGCCCATATGAACACTCATATGCATTGTCAAGACTCCATGCCTCTCCTTTGCAATGTTTTTCTGCATAAGCATTTTTTGGCTATTTTTTGCTTTTCTGCCATTTTCCAAGTTCTATATTTGTCATTTAATATACTTTATCAAAATGGTGGTAGACTTTTTCATGCACAGTCTCTAGGCAGTCTGTAACTTTCTGAGGAATAATAATATGTAAGATTGTTATTTGTGTCATTTTTCAACATTTTTGTAGTATTCATTTTTCTGTAATTCCAGCCTGTCATGACTGGTGCTGCCAGTCAAAGTGGCCTGGAATAAAGTATGGAATAGTGTCCTTCCTGGAGCCAGTGCTCATGGTGCATGGATAATACAGTCCACTCTCATTTACCAATAGAAATAATAATAGAGCCCCTTCCTAAATGCCCATTGAGTCTAATCACCTTCCAAGAGCTTTGTGCACTTGTTGTGACTCACTCCTATCACCCTGATCTTCCTTCTTATTTTTCCATGATGTTATATTTCTGTCCCTCATCCATCAGCCAAATTTTTCTTTGATGGCATATTCAAGTCACCTGGCCCTCAGTCAATTTTTTTTCTTGACATAATGGACATGTCACTCAGATCCAAGGGTTAAACCCAACAATTATAGGTGTTTTACCATTGAGACAGCCAAAACATGAGCAGTAGCCAGCTGTGTCTTATGCAACATACTTGTGTTCTCTGTTTATGCTCTGATTGGGTTGCCCGCCATGTGTGCCTCACACACAGGTCCCTGAGCAGTAACTGCTATAGCTACTGCCCAGAAATGGGGTGTTTTTCCCTTGAAGATATCCAGCCTAGATGTGTTAATATTGATTGTGTAGATAGTGGGATTTTTGAGGTAGACATCTCTGTTAAAGTCAAATATCCTACTGTGAAAGGAGGGCTTTGTAAATGAGAGTCAAGGGGTATGTAATTGACCTAAATATTCTGTTATATTAATATAGCATTGTCAGGATCATGGAGTTCTGGAAAAATTACTGAATAAAATTTATAGTTATCCATCAATGAAGAATGGTCACAATAATTAGCCACAAACAGCATTCAGTGATCATGTATGGTTGTGTTATTGCAAGGTTACTTATTTTCTCTGCAATTGTGTTATTGCAAGGTTACTTATTTTCTCTGCAATTGTGTTATTGCAAGGTTACTTATTTTCTCTGCAATTGTGTTATTGCAAGGTTACTTATTTTCTCTGCATTTTGTCATTTATTATTAAAAAAAAATTATGGTTCTTATATTCTCTTTCACTAAAGATGAAAACTCAGCTTGTAAATCAACTTTGAAATAGGGAATTTTGGGTAAATAGTTCCTCTACCCCCTCCCCCTTGCAAAATAAATAAATAAATAAATAAATAAATAAATAATTAACTCTTTTTTTTTCAGCTAAGGTCTGATGTAGTGCCAAAAACTGCAGAGAACTTCCGTCAGCTTTGCACAGGAGAGCAAGGTTTTGGCTACAAAGGGTCCATCTTCCATCGGATCATCCCCAACTTCATGTGTCAGGGTGGGGACTTCACTAATTTCAATGGAACAGGTGGAAAGTCAATTTATGGCTCAAAGTTCAGGTAGGAAAATTAAGTTTATTAAGTAAATTGAATTTGTATTGTAAAGCCTCATGAATAGGAGAACAGCCACAATAGGAAATTAAATGAAAGTGTAATGTTTCAACTCTTCAGACATATTATAACCGATCAATTTCCTGATGAGTTTGAAATATTACAATTTGATTTAATTTCTTATTGTGGCTGTTTTCCTATTCATCTTTGTGTACATTTTGCTGTGTTTGTGTTCTTAAACTCATACACACAGAGACAAAGTCTAAAAGACATTTGCATGATGATGTATTTTGGCTGATGTGAGAATCAAGATACTGCTATGCAACTATTGAACAAGAATTTGATCTAGATAATCCAGTTCACTGTTTTTAGCAACTGATATGAGAAAGTTTCCTGAATTTCTGTAACCTTGTTGCTGGACGGTCTCGTGACCATCTTCCAAATTAAGTGTGATTTCATGATGAAACAGTTGACAACATGAGTCATGTGACTTTTGTCGTGACAGTTGTCCACAGCTTTGTATCATGATGCATTTAAAGCCTAGTACTTCTTTTTACCTTATCATACCTTGTTCTTCTATATAGACATTGTTAGATGGAAGTTCCATTCCTGGATTATCTCTTGTATCAAGCAGTCTTTTACTGTATATTCAAACTTCTTGTGTTTTTTCATAGAATTTTAATCTTTAATTTAGCATGTTTGAATAAAAAATGTAAATTGTCATGCAACACAGATTCATACGCCACTCACACTGGTAAGGTAACCAATAGGTATACAGGAAATCATAGGTAAGTTTCTTCTCCAGACCACACCTGTCACAAAAATTAATCTGTCTTTCTTATAGGGCCAATATATTTAGAAATAGCTGTAGTTTTTGTAGCACAAACAAATTTTGAATAAATAAACAAGTTGGTGAGTACCTATTTTGACACCCTGTCCAGTAGGTAAGCTGTAAGATTCTCATTCACGTATTTTAATAATTATTCATCCATTTATTGGTTTATGTAGGGTACATTGAAGATTGTGATTACCATGGTTTTTAGTGATAATATTCAGAACAAGATGGTAAAAAAACACAAATCAAGGCTTGCTCTATATTTTTCCTGTAAGATACAATTTTCTTTAGCAATAAATGAATGGAATGCTTAAAATGACTCACAATCTATGTGGTGACTGCTAGAAGGAAAGAAAAAAGTATAATTTGTAGTAACATAAAGTTCAGTCATTAGCAAAGTAAAGGACATAACCTATGGTAAACCACTAGGCCTTTGCAAGATAAACACATTTGTGTTCCTCTTACAGTTGTAAATTAGGCTTCTTTTTTTTGTAATAAAATGAGTTTTATTTTCTATGGTAGACCACTAAGCTTAGACAAAATAAAGTTTTCAGAGCTCACTAAGACTGGGAAATATTCTTGTGTGCAGGCGTTAGAGACTTTGGGGTTCTATATGCAAGTTCTCGGTGGTGGTTCTTAAATAGTCTCCACCACTTTCTCTGGGAAATAACCAAATGAGGGAGGTTTTCACCATAAAATGCCAGCATCTCTCTTTGCTTGTTTTACTGAATACTTTATGTACTTAACAAGTACTTCTTCAGTAGCAATGAGGAGGCCCTTAGGTCCTTTCATGGTACTCATTCCACATTTGCCAGAAATCTTATTGCACAGGGTTGCCTCAGGATTATATATTGATTTGTTGCCCCTCTAATTTGACAAGACTAAATTATTAGTTATTTATTAATTTATGATATGAAAACTAAAGTTGCCTAAAGATGTGGAATTCGTGATAGTGACAAGAAACGAACTCCATATAGTTATTAGATATAACTAGCATTCACTGTCATTCACCGTTATATATGGGAATAGTTTTGTGTATACTGGTCAACTTACTGAGTAAGGGGCAAGGGTCAATTAGGAACTATATTTAATATATTGTCATACTTGAGAATCCATTTTTAAGTGCCAACTGCATACCTATTTGATAGGGTGTACCTATTAGTTACCATACCTTATGTAATAATATGCTCAAACTAAGATCTAAGTATATGCATAAATGGATAGCAGTATGAGTGCACATGCACTCCTAAAACATTGGTATGTATCTCTCACTCACTCACACACTGTATTTCTTACAGGGATGAGAACTTCGAGCTGAAGCACACAGGGCCAGGTATACTGTCCATGGCCAATGCAGGACCCAACACCAATGGTTCCCAGTTCTTTATCACAACAGTAACTACCCCATGGCTAGATGGTGCTCATGTCGTCTTTGGAGAAGTGGTTGAAGGCATGGATGTAGTTAAGGCCATTGAGAAGCTTGGTTCTCGCTCTGGACGACCATCACAGAAAGTTGTTGTGGCAGATTGTAATGAGTTGAAGGAAGAATGAGTGATTTAAACAGTTTGTACAGAACGACAAAGCAAATATTTTCCTAATGAAATATTGTAAATGTTTTCTTCGGAAGGAAAATGAAAAACAATGGTTATGTATTAAAATTTTATATACAAAATGAAACAGTATAAATTGTAAGTAATTTTTTCATAATAATATAAAAACTACATATTACAACAATTATTATTACCCTTTTCTTTCTTAATGAGGTAGGGATTGTGACTTGATCATATCTGTATTTACACAATAAAAATGAATCTCTTGTCATTTATCTGCTTTCATTGTAGATTGGATAAAGTTTTTTGATTTCTCATAAATTCCAAAGAACACTGCTCCACCCAAGGAAATCCACACTGTGCGAGGTATTACCCCAGCAAAGAGTCTGAAAGGAAAAAAATATATACATTTAACTTATTCTGGGCAACAATTTCTTATTTGTAAAAATTTTATACAGGATATATTTAGATTCATACAAACTTGTACATTGGTACACTGATTGCCCATTGTATTTTTTAGTGACAAATATTCAGCCACCAAGGAGTAAATTAGTAGACCTGATATGACCTTATCTGGTTTTCCTATTCCTTAAATTTTCAGGATTTCTGTTTTTCTAATGCTATAAATATTGATATGGTTATTATAAGTATTATTGATATTACAATAATCAAAATACTAGTAGCAATAAAAAATCCATATTAAACTTTCCAAAATCAAGGAAAAGGGTAAACTGGTGAGATAGGTACTAGTAGTTAGTTATTAACCTCTACCATATGTACACACTAAAATCAAAGTAAACATGGCAGGTATCTCATGTCATCCCAGTGCAAAGGGTTTTGTGGACTGCCCCCTGGGACAGAGGAGGATTCGAATATGGATGTTTAAACAGTTACTTGTAACAGAAGCGCCCACCAAAAGGAAGAAAAGTAAACCTTTGTTAGCCTGTTGGGATAGGACTAAATTAGCTAAAATCACCCACTTCATTATTATATTTTAAAAGCTGTATATTATCCCATGAATGGTAGGGAGATATGTATGTACATGTCATATTTACTATGATTTTAGTGTATAAAATTTGTTAACACAGATGGCAGCTAATCTCACCACTTTACCCTTTTCCTTGATTTTTAAAATACTCTCTCTTTATTGCAGTTACTGTTGTCTATAACATAATATTTACATTCTCAAAAATAATAACAGTAACAATGTAAACAGCATTAGAAAAAACACCTTGGTAACTAAGTACTTGCTGAGCCATCTATGTATTAAACAAACAAACAAATGACAGTATAACTAGTGCCAATGCCCATATTTATTGGTAAAGACAATGTGACCAGCACATCAGGAAAAAAATTGGCTTGAGGGGCGGGTGATGTGTGACATGTTCTCATGGGAAAACTGAGGCTGGGGTGATGGAAATGATGTGCCACAAGTTCACAAAGCTCTTGGAGGGGGATTACACTCGGTGGGCAATTAGGAAGGGGCTCTTGCATTCTTTCCATCGGTAAATGAATGTGGAGTGTATCATCCATGAGCTACGAAGAGCACTGGCTGCCCATCATGACTGGCAATACAGATTGTATTACAGAAAACTGAATATTTAAGAAGTTACTTTTGCTATTATTATTGTTCAGGGTTATGAACTAAAGTGAGAGAAGATTTAGAGTCTGTGCAAAGAAAATGGTCTTTTACTTTCTTGATACAGCAAATCAAATGATATATAGACCATGGAAAATGGCAAAAAATCAAAATATGCTTATGTAGAAAAAGAGATAATAACATTGCAAAGGTGAGGTTAGGAGTCTTGACTTCACACAAGAGTGCTCTTGTGTGACTGGCCCACAAACCAGACACCAGGGAGAATTGCCAGTCAAGTAAAACCTAATGCCTGGATTTTGAGCCATGTGTGGGCTGCTAAGAACCTGGATTCAATTTGTTTATTGAATGGGACAGGAAGGAGGACAGGACCCTAGTGTTGGGGCTGAAAAATACTTTGTCGGATCAGGAAAACCAGTTAGTAAAAAAGACAAACCCAAGTCAGCCGTGACATGAACAGGCACCAGCACACCCATGAGTAAGATGATGCACAAACCCCTGTCGGGCAATGTTTCATCATGTGGATAGGGCCTTATAGTAGATGGAGCAAAAATATGAAAAGAAAAGAAAGAAAAGAAAAAAAAAGAGAGATATTGAGAGATATTGAGAGAGAGGGAGAGATATATATATCGGGAGAGAGAGAGAGAGAAAGAGATATATATATATATCGAGAGAGAGAGAGGGAGATATTTATATATATATATAGAGAGAGAGAGAGAGAGGGATATATATATCGAGGAGAGAGAGATAGGGAGATGTATAAATCGAGAGAGAGAGGGAGATGATATATATATCGAGAGAGAGAGAGAGAGGGAGATGTATAAATCGAGAGAGAGAGGGAGATATATATATATATCGGGAGAGAGAGAGAGAGGGAGATATATATCGGGAGAGAGAGAGAGAGGGAGATATATATATCGGGAGAGAGAGAGAGAGGGAGATATATATATCGGGAGAGAGAGAGAGATGGAGATATATATCGGGAGAGAGAGAGGGAGAGGTAGAGATACTGAGAGATATTGAGAGAGAGGGGGAGAGAGGGAGAGAGGGAGAGAGAGAGAGAGAAAGATATATCGAGAGAGAGAGAGAGAGGGAGTGATATATATCGGGAGAAAGAGAGAGAGAGGGGGAGATATATATCGGGAGAGGGAGAGAGGGAGGGGGGGGGGGAGAGGGAGAGAGAGAGAGAGAGAGAGAGAGAGAGAGAGAGAGAGAGAGAGAGAGAGAGAGAGAGAGAGAGAGAGAGGGAGTGATATATATCGGGAGAGAGAGAGAGAGGGGGAGATATATATCGGGAGAGAGAGAGAGGGAGAGATATATATCGGGAGATATATATCAAGAGAGGGAGAGAGAGGGGGGGGGGGAGTAAAAGAGAGAGAGAGAGATATAAAGAGAGAGAGAGAGAGAGATATTGAGAGAGAGCGAGAGGGAGAGAGAAAGATATATTGAGAAGGAGAGAAAGATATATCAAGAGAGAGAGAGAGAGAAAGATATATCAAGAGAGAGAGATATTGAGAGAGAGTGAGAGAAAGAGAGATATTGAGAGAGAGAGAGAGAGAAAGAGATATTGAGAGAGAGAGAGAAAGAGAGATATTGAGAGAGAGAGAGAGTAAGAGATATTGAGAGAGAAAGAGATTGAGAGAGAGAGATAGTGAAAAAGAGAGAGAGAGAGAGAAAGAGAGAGAGGGAGATATATATATCGATAGAGAGAGAGAGAGGGAGATATATATATCGGGAGAGAGAGACAGAGGGAGATATATATATTGGGAGAGAGAGAGAGAAATAGATATATATCGAGAGAGAGAGAGGGAGAGGGAAAGATACTGAGAGAGAGAGAGATAGAGAGAGATATTGTGAGAGAGAGAGAGAGAGAGAGAGAGAGAGAGAGAGAGAGAGAGGGAGTGATATATATCGGGAAAGAGAGGGAGAGATATATATCGGGAGAGAGAGAGAGAGAGGGAGAGATATATATCGAGAGAGAGAGAGAGAGAGAGAGAGAGAGAGAGAGAGAGAGAGAGAGAGAGAGAGAGAAAGAGAGATATTGAGAGAGAGAGAGAAAGATATTGAGAGAGATATATCAAGAGAGAGAGAGAGATATTGAGAGAGAGAGCGAGAGGGAGATATATATATCGAGAGAGAGAGGGAGAGAGCAAGATATATTGAGAGAGAGAGAGAGAGAGAGAGAGAGAGAGAGAGAGAGATATTGAGAGAGAGAGAGAGAGAGAAAGATATATCAAGAGAGAGATAGAGATATATATCGAGAGAGAGAAAGATATATCGAGAGAGAGAGAGAGAGAAAGATATATCAAGAGAGAGAGAGAGATATCGAGAGAGAGATATTGAGAGAGATATTGAGAGAGAGAGAGAAAGAGAGATATTGAGAGAGAGAGAGAGAGATATTGAGAGAGAGAGAGAGAGAGAGAGAGAGAGAGAAAGAGATATTGAGAGAGAGAGAGACTGAGAGAGAGAGAGAGAGAGAGAGAGAGAGAGAGAGAGAGAGAGAGAGAGAGAGGGAGAGAAAGATATATATATATAGAGAGAGAGAGATCAAGAGAGATCAAGAGAGATCAAGAGAGATCAAGAGAGATCAAGAGAGGGAGAGATTGAGAGAGAGATATATATATATAGAGAGAGAAGAGAGAAGAGAGAGACAGAGAGATAGAAAGAGAGAGAGAGAGAGAGAGAGAGAGATAAGAGAGAGAGAGAGATAAGAGAGAGAGAGAGAGAGAGAGAGAGAGAGAGAGAGAGAGAGAGAGAGAGAGAGAGAGAGAGATAGAAGAGAGAGAGAGAGATAGAAGAGAGAGAGAGAGATATTGAGAGAGAGAAATAGAGAGATAGAGAGGTATATCGAGAGAGAGAAATAGAGATATATTGAGAGAGAGAGAGAGAGAGAGAGAGAGAGAGGGAGGGAGAGCATGCCTGGCTACACTTCACAATGTAGAATGTTTGTTGATTATACCATTTGTGAATAAACTTCCATTTCAAGGAACTGTGACAAGCTTTGATAATTACCCTGATATTCCTTGCTGACGATAAACTACTTTCATGGCATTGGAAATGTTTCCTTTAGCAATACTGCTATTATGATCAGCTAACATTATCCTTGTTTTGGCAACATCTAATGGAGTTGTTATAGCAGCTGCCATTCCACCTGAGACAGAAAGAAATATTATGTTATTTCATTTTTTCAGATAAAGAAGAAACAAAATCGTCCAAACCTTCCATAAATATATAAATTTGATCTCATAAAAAGTATATCAAATGAGCAGGCTACAACAATCTTTCCTTTTACCTGCAAGGGCTCCACATAATGATGATTGCCACGAATCTACCAATCTTCCCTGATGATTTGACCACCACTTTTTGAACAGTTCCCATAGGGGGAATTGGATTATGGAGAATGGTACTTCTCTTATAACTGTACTCATGTATCCACGGTATAATCCTCTAAAGCCTTCCCGTTGAAGAGTAACTCGTACAACTTGGAGGGATGACTGGTACATCTGGGCTTGCATTCGCTGTTTGACGACTTCCATAGGAACCCTTATAACACAGGCTGCCTGAAACATATATAACCTATAACAACATATAAAGATACCTTTGTATATATTCAGATAAGTAAATCCCTAAAATTACTTGCACCAGGCATCATTATAGCAAAAGTTAAAGAAAAAAGTAAACAAATAATATATATATTTTTTTGATGTGTGTCTTGAGTTATTTTGCTTTCCATCTTGAGTATCCAATGAGGATTTGGCAAATAAAAGTAACTGTGACCATCCTCCCCCAACAATCAGTTCATTTTATCTCCTTTTTGCTTGATTACTGGTGCTGCACTGTTCAACAAGTAACATGCCCCTGTTTTGTATCCTGGCTGCTCTCCTGCCTACCCCATCCAACCCCATTGTTTCAGTATCTATCTTGAACTAGTATAGAAAATAATGCTCATCTCATGCCAACATTGCTTAAGTTGTGATTAGTTGTGTTTGTTCAGTGTTTGGCAAACATTAACACAAGAGACATGTCTTCTGGTGTAGGAAAGCATGTCTTGCCTTCCAACTGTCTATTCCTGCTTATACACATCCACCTAAGCTGCAGTCTAGAAGTATAGAGGGGAATCTTATCTATCTTTTTTTTATAACTTTTGGGCCCTCTTGTGGTCTAATATGGTGATATATCAGTATATAAATTAATATATTATTCAATGAGCTATAAAATTGTTCAGCTGGCTTTATTTCATACTGTGACCATCATCATCACCATCATCATAAAGGGCTAACACCAATGGGGCCCATGGCCACATCCACCCTTCGGTTCCAGCCACAAGGGTCCTTCATGGCGAGTCTCCAGGTATGTTCTCGACCCATCTCTAACTCCTTGCAACAGGTCTGGTCGAGCTGGCCAAGCTATAACCTCCTAGGTCATCCCATGGGCCTCCTCCACCCAGGATTGTCTTGTCGAGAGATGACCTGATGTGCAGGGTCATTCACAGGGAAACAAGTTAGGTGCCCATCGAGAGATGACCTGATGTGCAGGGTCATTCACAGGGAAACAAGCTAGGTGCCCATATAGCCTGAGTTGGCAATCTTGGATTATGCAAGTAACAGGTCCCATGCCAGTCTCATGGTGTAGCTGCTGGTTGGACACAAGGTCCTGCCAACTGTACCCCATGATATGGTGAAGAGACTTGTTATAAAAGGCATTAAGATGAGACTCCAAGGCACTAGTGTCCAGGTTTTGCTTTCATAGAGCAAAACTGGCAGTATCAAGGCCTTGAAGATATGTAACTTGGTCCTTCTGCATAGGTACCGACATCTCCAAATACTCTTGTTGATCAAGTTCAAGTTCATGGCTCCTGCTTCCAGACCAATCTGTCTACTGACTTCTTGGTCTTCTAGTCCATGCCCAGAGGCATGGACTAGGCTACCAAGGTATGCAAAGCTGTCTGTGGCTTCAATATCTTCACCACAAGCATGGATCAACCGAACAGGTTCACCTAGCAGGCCCCCATAGTCCTGAATTTTGGTCTTGGTCCAAAAGACCTCTAGGCCTAAGGGCTTTGCCTGCAACCTCAGCCATACTAAGCTATATGAAAATTTATTGGGGTTATGTGCTGAATAACATATCTCCTTATTGAATATACATCTGCTGTCTTTAAATAAATTATGGGTAACACATTAAAAAATTGTCTGTAGCATTGTACTATCATATTACTATCATATTTCACTGGAAATATGATAGTGCCCATTGTTTTGTTTTGTTAATTATGTTCAGCCACCAAGGCCCACTTGACCTTGCCTAATATCCCCTTTCACAGAGTGCTGTTACTATTATGACCGATTTACTACCTGTTAATATTATCCTGATGATGTTACTAACAATACTAATAGCACTAAAAAAATATATATAAAAAAATAAAATTAAGTAAAAGGGTAAACAGGAGAGGACTTTTAACTGACTCTTAGGGATCAAGAACTTGTGGAGCCATCTATGAGTAAAACAATTAATAAAATAAAACCACAGAGGACATGACATAGATACATGCCATCCCTAGTGGCAATGGGTTTAACACTTTCAAGACTATGATTAACATGTGATAATGCAACTTCATTTGTGAATTTTAAAAAATCCATATAAAACTTAACTAAAGAAATCCAACTTAAACTTACCACTTCTCCAGCTGATGCAGCAAACATATGGACTCCTGGTTCATATTTTGATGGCACTTTGCCACTGAACAGCTGTTTCGCACCCTCATATGCTAAGAAAAAAGTTGCAGCTGTAAAAAAAAAAAAAGTAAAGAAAATCAGCGATGAAAAGGGTTCTTCCTTTAAGGGGCCAATACATGTTCAAACTAATTTGACCAAGCCCAGACCATTGCCTATACACAACTCAGTTAATTTGCTCAGTTCAGTGGTGACTTTGTTGTGAGACAGTGTGTGAAAATATTATATACCTAGCTGCCCTAACCTTGGCAGAAGCAGACAAGCATCAAAATAGGAAAAACAGACATATATAATACTAAACACCATCAGAGCTGTGTTTCAAACTTAGCTTTGATCTCGACAGAACACAAATTCTGGAATTTCTTATTACCTATGAAGAAAGATAAGAATGCACACACACACACACACACACACACACACACTCTCTCTCTTCAATCAAAAAATTCTAGACTTTAAACTTTCCATACTCATAGTTCTGCTTGATATAGTTCTATAAACTTTGCAAAACACACTCGTTTACCCATCTGTCACATCTTGGGAAAGTTTACTCCACTTTGGCCTCGACTGCACTCAGTAAATACATCATGCTTCCTATACACTCTTGAGCTAGGCCTGTGCAGGAATTAAGATTTCTCTCTATAACAGATCACCAGAAACAACACTGTATAGGTTCTGGTACATATTTAATACCTTTGAACCAGACTTATATGTAAATTTAATTTGAAAAAGTAGCCCAAAAATGGCATCTTTTACACTTATATTCTTATATTATAAACTTATATTATATCCTTAGTTAAAGTCAAAATCTTGCTGAGCCTTGCCATTCATCTTTGACAGTGAGGCATAAGTCTTTAACAATCTTGCCTAAAGAACTCTTGGTCTCTCTCTGTCTCTCTTACCTCTCTCTGTCTCTTTCTGTCTCTATTTATGTCTTCCTTTCTAGTTCTCTCTTTTTCTGTCATTCTGTCTCTCTTTCTGTTTCTATGTCTGTCTGACTCTCTCTCTGGCCTGCTTCACATTGTTTCACAATTATTTTGGACATGTCTCCTCACATTATTGGTCTACTCACACTGCAGTGAAATAGCTAAAAACCTTACACTAAATAATAATTCACACACTTCCCATGTTTGCATCTTTGCCTTCTGATGCCTACCCTTGACATTCATGATTCACACACATTTGCCTTATCCCTTTATTGACCTCTTTACATATGCAATTAACCCAATGGCGCCGGGTGTACAAAACAAAACAAAAAACTCTACGCTTAAGCAAACAAAGGCGGCCGACTTTGAGCGCGTGAATAGGGGGCATCAGCCCGAATCACTGGCTCGCTGCCGGCTCGTTTGGCTGCACGCCAGCTTTCGAGCGCTTTGTTTACACGCCGATCGGCGTCACCCGGCACCAAGGGGTTAACAGTTGTCATTTTGACATTTTTTCTTTCTTATCACCAATCATTTATATTGAAAATATACTTATATAGGTGTACATTCAACAAACAAACTCATACATAAAAAGTAACCTCAAAATAAGTTTGGAAATATGGGTAAGTAGGGAATATCAGAGTTTGATGAGGTGTGGACCAAAATATAAATGTGTAATTCAAAGATTTACATTTTTTGACTTTCCATTCTGTGATGCAAGGTGCTCATCATATTTTAGCAAAGAATGGGTTATTGATTACTACTTTAAAACAAGAAATTGTCAAGTTGTGAACATCTTCAGCTGCAGCCCACAGGTTGGTCACTGAGTCCTGTACTCGTATAAGACCAATAAAGAGTCAAGTGTGGATATTCCTCCACTAGGAATCTTTACCATAAGTGCTAAATCCTGCTGACCACCTACCAGTTGGTGCAGAAGCAATGGCAGCTGGACCTATGCCACTGTAGATGCCTTTAAAACCTCCTGAGGCCCTAAAACCAGCTTCACTTTGTAGCCTTGTTTTAATGGTATCAAGAGGGAAGAGGGTTACATCTACTCCTAGGCCAGCTGCTCCTCCAGACTGAAACGTCAAAAAATTGTATAACATCATTCTGGTTTCAGTTAATAATAAGTTTGTGAGTGGGTTTGTGTTTGTGTTTGTGTTTGTGTGTGTGTGTGTGTGTGTGTGTGTGTGTGTGTGTGTGTGTGTGTGTGTGTGTGTGTGCGCGTGTGTACATACACACATATATACATCTACATACATACATACATACATACAATATATATACACATCATCATCATTTAGGAGCTAACGCCGGCAGGGGCGCACAGTCGCATCCACCCTTTGCTTCTTCCTACGAGGATTCCTCATGGCGAGCTGCCAGGCAGGGGCCCGGCCCATCTTTAGTTCCTCACGACAGGTTTGATCGATCTGCCCAAGCCACGACCTTGTCGGTCATCCCACAGGCCTCCTCCACCCAGGGTTGTCACGGACAGAAACAACCTGATGGGCAGGATCATCCTGTGGGAATCGAGCCAAGTGGCCATATAGCCTGAGTTGGCGATCACAGATTGTGCAAGTAACAGGTCCTGTACCGGTCTCACGGTGTAGCCGCTGGTTGGACACATGGTCCCGCCAACTGTACCCCATGATCCGGCGCAATGATCGGTTACAAAAGGCATCAAGACGAGATTCCAAAGCACAAGATAGCGTCCAAGTTTCACTACCATATAGTAAAACTGGCAGTATCAGGGCCTTGAAAACACGTAGCTTGGTCCTTCTGCACAGGTACTGGCATCTACAAATACTCTTGTCGAGAGATTTCATGACCCCTGCTACCAGGCCAATCCGTCTACTGACTTCCTGGTCTGACAGCCCAGAGTCATGAACTGCACTACCGAGGTATATAAAGCTCCTTGTGACTTTGATGATCGCAAGCATGTACCGACTGCACAGGGTCTCCTAGCAGGCCCCCAAAATCCTGGATCTTGGTCTTGGTCCAGGAGACCTCTAGCACCAGGGGCTTCGCTTCATTGCTAAATGCATCAAGAGCCGCCACTAGGGTTTCCAGAGATTCAGAAAGAATGGCAACATCATCAGCAATCATCAGAGTTGCTCCACAGTGACTTTGGACAGTAGCTCTACTCAGTATTCAATCCATGCAAGTGTTGAAAAATGTTGCAAGAACACAGCCTTGCCTCACGCCTGAACTAACAGGAAAAAGGCTTGACAGGCCCCCACCACACTTTACAGCACTTTCAGTGCCTGTATACAGGTTTGCTATTAGTCCAACAATCCTTGTTGGAATTCCTCTCAGTCTCAGGATCTCCCAGAGTGATTCGCGATGCACTGTATCAAAAGCCTTCTTAAGGTCGATGTAGGCTGCGAACAGCCCACGTCCGAACTCACGATGGTGCTCTACAATGACTTGAAGCGCCAGAATGCGGTCTATTGTGGACTTACCAGGAGTGAATCCAGATTGCTCCGGTCTTTGGTGCCTCAGGAGGTGGTCTCTGATACGTCTCAGTAAGATGTGCGTGAGTACCTTGCCTGGTACACTGAGCAGTGTAATGCCTCGGTGATTGCTGCAGTCCCACCGATCCCCTTTCCCCTTCCAGAGAGGGATGACCACACCCCTCAGCAGGCCAGGGGGAATGGTACCGGTCTGCCAGATGGCAGACAGTCACATACATACATATTATATATATATACATACACATGTATGTATGTAAATGTGTGTATGTGTGTGTGTGTGTGTACATACATACATACATATTATACATACATACATACATATATTATATACATATACATATATATATATATATATATATATATATATATATATATATATATATATTTTTTTTTTTATTTATCTTTTTTTTTCAACAGCCATTCATTCCACTGCAGGACATAGGCCTCTCTCAAGTCAGTATTGAGAGGTTACATGGCAGTGTCACCCTTGCCTGATTGAATGCCCTTCCTAATCAACCGCGGTTCGGCGCGTTAACACTTCTGCCACGGCGGTTACTTCCCCTACAACACCTGTGTTTGACTTCTCAAGCCGATATGTCGTTTTTCTCGGGCTTAAGCCAGCAGTCAGAGCGCAGGCATTTTTACGACTGTCGCGACGGGGAATTGAACCTGGGACCACGAGGGTCAGAGTCCAGTGCTCTAACCACTGAGCTATCGCGGCAGTCATATATATATATATATATATATATATATATATATATATATATATATATATATATATATATATATATACATATACATACATATACTATACATATACTATACATATATCATACATACATATATATATATACATATATATATATATATATATATATATATATATATATATATATATACATAAATACATATACATCAACATATAAATGCATATAACATATATACTTCTAGGCCAGTTCCTCCTCCAGATTTAAATGTTTAAAAAAATAAAAGATCATTCTGATTTCAGTTAATAAAATGTTTGTAAGTGAGTCTGTGTGTATGTGTATGTGTGTGAACGCGTGCGCGTATGAGTGCACATGTGTGTGTGTGTAC